TTCAAAACTCTGTACTAAAGTTATTATAAAACTTTTTCCCAAGTCTCGTTTTTTATTTTTTTTATCTAATAAAATATAATTAAAGTTTTAATAATAATAAACCATTTTGCTTACTTTATTATAGCAATGTATCAAACTTTGAAATTTTTCTTTGCAATGCTTCCCTGAATACCCTGTCCTAAATTTCAAATTAATTTTCAATGCAACCCCCTTCCAAAAATTCATCTTCCTATTCCTAACAAGATTATGATATTTATTATATTTTTTTTTTTCTTTTATAAGCAAATTGAATTGTTTGTCTATCCACATATTTTTTTTTCAAAATTAAATTGAAATGTTTGATAATGAGAAAAATATTATCCTTTATATTCATAAAATTATTGATTATGTAAATATATTTCCTAACATTTAATTATTTCCATGTTATCGCAATTGAAAATCTTTATCATTGCAATTAAAATCTTATTCATCTCATACTTTTTACGTCATTGTAATTGAAAAATAATTATTAAACAAAAATGTTTTAAAACTGTGTAATAAAAATAGAAATTAGATAATATAAATTAAAAATAAGGTTTTTTATGCTATAAACTTAAAATTTATTTATCTTGATATTATCACGGTAAATTATTAATAAAAAAACCAAAAGTCACAGTAGAGTCGCGGTTGAGTCAGAGAACTTATTTAATACTATTTTTTGTGATAGAATTTTATCAATTTGTAAAGTGAAAATTTTTATTTATTACTGCTTTTTTATATCAATAAAAGGATTTTTTTTTAATTCCTTTACTATTTTATATAATACAAAATTATATATTGCAGTTTCATGATAATTTTCTAATTAATCAAAATTATGAAACCTTTTGAATATAATATTATTCTAGCTGTTTTCAAGTATAATTAATTTCTTTTTGTTGTTAAAATGTTTCCTGCTATTGAATTTTGAAACAAAAAAAATATCATAAAAAAAATTTTTAAATCTTTTGTGATTTATGTAACTCTAAATGTAATACAGTATTTACCTTTATGCATAGCTAGTGTTCCACAAAAAATCTGATTCAATCCAAATCTGATCCAAATCTGACGGATCGGATCGAATCAGATTTATCAGATTCGAATCAGATTCAGATCCGGATTTTGATTTAATTCGATCCATCAGATCCAGATCGAATTCAGATTTGGATTTGATTCAATCTGACGGATTCAGATTTGGATTCAGATTCGATCCATCGGATTTGGATTTGGATTCAGATCTGATTTGTTGGATTTGAAATAAAAATGCCACACCGAAGTCAGACGCGGTATTTATTATTAAAAAAGTTTAATTTTTAATAATAAAATGCTGCCCAAAAGTCAGACGCGGCATTTATTATTAAAAAAGTTTAATTTTTAATAATAAATGCTGCACAAAAGTCAAACGCGGCATTTATTATTAAAAAAGTTTAATTTTTAATATTAAAATGTCACCCTGAAAGTCAGAGGCAGAATTTATTAATAAAAAATTAATTTTTCATTAATTTTTATAATAAAATGCCATCCCAAAAGTCGGACGCGGCATTAATTAATAAAAAAATACATTTTATTAATTTTTTATATAAAAATGCCACCCCGAAAGTCAGACGCGGCATTTATTAATAAAAAAATCAATTTTTTTAATTTTTTATATAAAAATGCCGCCCCAAAAGTTGGACGCAGATTTTTGTTAAAAAAAACAAAATTGTTGTTTTTTTAACATTAAAATGCCGTTCCGAACGTCAAAGGCGAATTTTTGTTAAAAAACCAACAAAATTGTTGTTTTTAACATTAAATCACCGTTCCGAACGTCGGTGGCAGATTTTTGTTAAAAAAACAACAAAATTTTTGTTTTTTTAACATTAAAATGCCGTTTCGAATGTTAGATACGGATTTTTGTTAAAAAAACCAAAATTGGTGTTTTTTTTAACATTAAAATGCCGTTCCAAACGTCGAAGGCGAATTTTTGTTAAAAAACCAACAAAATTGTTGTATTTAATATTAAATCACGGTTCCGAATGTCAGAGGCAGATTTTTGTTAAAAAAACAATAAAATTGTTGTTTTTTTAACATTAAAACACCGTTCCAAACATTAGAGGCGGATTTTTGTTAAAAAACAACAAAATTGTTGTTTTTTAACATTAAAACGCCATTCTGAACGTTGAAGGCAGATTTTTGTTAAAAAAATTTTTTGATCCATCAGATACAGTCACAGATTCGGATTTATCGGATTCGAATATGGATTCGAATTCAAATTTGTTGGATTCAGATCAAATCAGATTCAGATTTTTCAGATTCGGATCGAATCAGATTTGGATTTTTTGGATTTGGATCAAATCGGATTTTGCCCAAATCTGATCTGATCTGATCCGTGCAGAACACTATGCATAGCCTTTCACAACCTTTGTATAAATTAGTTTGAAGTGTTTATAAAATTATAGACCAAAAACTATATAAACTGGTCTATTAATCAATTCACAGACCAGTTTTCTAGGACTAATCCAAGTTTTAATCACTAATTTCCCGTTCATATTTTTAAACTCAAATTTGTTTAATTTTGTTAATTAATTTACTAAATTCAAATCGCATTTTTTAATAAAAAACTAAATTGATTTAAACATTTATAAATCAGATTGGTGAAACTTTTTTGATTAGATTATTAGGCAGTATTCAGCCTTTATGCACAGCCTTTGTGCACATCTCTTTTTTGATTAGATTTTTATGCATAGCTTTTACGCAATCTTTGTGTACAGTTTTAGTATACAGCTTTTGTGACAGCCCTTTAAAAAGATATAAAAGGTATTTATTTTTACATTAGCTGAATTTTTTTCTTATCATAAAAATGATTTCTCCTTAACAATTATTATAATTTTCTCATCACTCTTTTCATTCTAAAAGCATGAATAGCAAGTGTAAAACTAAGCAAAATAATATGAATAAGTATAATTTTTTTACTTTGTATATTTTAAAATATATTTTCATAAATTATTTTTCTAAGGTCATACTAAAAAGATAGCATCCAAAAAATACCACTAAAACAGATAATAATCGAAGGGTCAGAAAGTTCTGCTGACAAATTTTCAGATTTAAATAATAATGAGCAAAGATTTGGTGATTTGATGAACCTTTAATTATTTTAGGTATTTTGAAAATTACTTAAAACCTGCAATTTTTGGTTAAATTAAATTTTTAATGACTGCAATTTTTAATTTTTATTTTATTTATAAGATAAATCAATTAAAACTTCAAAGAAAGTTATACTGTTATCACAAAATCTTCCAGAAGATCTTAAACAATTTTCTAATACTTTGGAAATTTATATATAATTGTTAGAACATCCTCATATATTACGATTAGTCAATCAAATGTTGGATGCAAAAAAAGCTTCACCAGACTTCATTTCTGATATCTTCGGTTCTAATGGCACTGGTCCTCTTTTTGTTTAGGATTATGCTATGGGTTCTGCCAGGAGTTCTGCTAGGAAGTCCAAAAGATTCTCAGATGGGTTTTCTGGTTATGATACTTCTTCTGGTAATGGCAATGATGATCTAAGAATTTACTCACATTTTTTATTTTAATTCTTTTATAAATTATAATTAAAATCTAACAATTTTAAATTCTTTAAGACAAAAAATATTGTCTTTAGGACGAAACAATCAAATGTTTGTTTCTCTGTACTAAAAACCCATCTAATGAAGCTATAGATAATATGATAAAAAAATTTTTATCATCGAAATTTATAGCAACCAAGCACAACATATATTAAAATGTATAAATAGCTCATTTTCTGATTTTTGAAACAAATACAATGATCATATTATAAAGTTTATAGATGATTATAAAAATATAAGGTATTTTATTATTTTTATATATATTGTATTTTTATTGATCTAATAAGGTTTCTAATATTAAAATTTTATTTTATAGTATAAATTCTTAAACTTAAATTGAAATAGAAAAACATATAACCAATAATATAACAAAAAAGGTTTTAAGTCGTTAGCTTGATGCTGCTGACATCTTTAAGTTAGAACATAAGGCAGTGATATTTTTACGTAATATTAGTTTGATATAAAGCTAAACCCTCACTTTCAGGTAAGATAATTAAAGCAAATCACGTGATAATGTTCATATAAAATTATTAAAAACACAGTATGCTTATACTCACAAACTTTTAATATTTAATAAAATTATCATTTAAACAGTTTCTTTAAATTGTTAACTTTATATTAAAATTGTTGTATAAATCTTATCAATGATATCATTTCACAAATTTAATGTCTTTGATTATATTTAATAAAATGAAATTTTTGTAATAAACTAGTAAGGATCATTTTAATTGTATAAAAGTACAGTCGACCTTCTCTACTGTCACATCCCTTGAGACCAAAAACAAAAAGTGTGACTATAGTGAAAAGTGACTATATAGAAGGATTTTTTATAGTATTACTAAATATTAGTTCCAAAATGATGTGACTATAATAACATTGCGATTATAGAAGGGTTTTATTATATAATGTTAATAGGAACTGGTTTTTATGAAAGGTGTGCTTATAACAGAGGATTTATATAATGTGATTATATAGGGGGTGACTGTAGAGGGGTCGACTGTATATCTTTCAATAATTTAGTGATAAAGCATTACTTTTTAATAAATTTTGCTACAAGAATTTTGCTATTTTAATACATATTAACTGCGGGATTTGCATTAGCTATGAAAAGATAATATTATATTTCACATAATTTTACGTTATTTCACATCATTTTACACTATAAAAAAGAAATAAAAAATTTTTTCTTTTACAAAAACACGTTTATTTTTTATTTGATAAAAAATGAATCGTCAAACCTTCTTAACTGGTCCTAAATTCAATAAAAACCAATTTATAATTTATCAACTAATAAATATCAGGAATTTACTAATGCTTATGTATATAGTACTATAGTAAAAATATGAAATAATACTCCAAATTGTGATATTGTTTGTCATGAAGCAGCAACTAAATGAAAAGATATTAAAAGCAAAAAGTGCTATAGAAATTGATAATATAATTCAAGAATATTTCACTACTCCAATTTACCCATATAATATATCAGTATCATGAGTAAACTGTCCCAAGTCTATAATAAAACCAATTTCTCCTCTTCCTATTATTAGTCCAGTTGAACCTTTACTAGAAATTCCTAAAAATGCAATATCTCAAAAGAAGATAACAGAGGAAATTAAAGTAACTGAAGAAAACCTTGTTGAATTAAAACAGATATACAATATCACAACTGATACTCAGCTTCAATATAATATATGTATAATAATAAAAGAAGTTGAATCAAAAATTAGTTTGAATAAGAATAAAATTAACATATTAAAGAGAAATGTGAAATATGTTCAAAATTGTATAGCAAAGAAACTTAAACAACTTATTAAAAGTCAAGAGGTAGTTCAATATGATAAATCTGACCTTCTGCCTCTACTTTTCGAGTATCCAAATCTGCACAATCAGATTCATAACTTAGTCAAGTTTGAATTAGCCAATTTAAAAAGACGAAAAGAAGTTATTAAAGTGCGTATTATTGAAAATTTACATAAGAATTTGGAGGTAAGATATAATATTTATACGGCACAAACAATATTAAACAACTTTTACCTCACTAATTCAACTCAATTGTCACAAGGATTCATCATCATCCAGCATAGGCTGCTATAGCTGAAGTTTTATATACAAATACTCAAAAGTATCCTGACAGACACTATTATCTTGCATCTATTAAATATGCAAAACAATTTACTTCTATGTTTGCTGATAAGTCTATTATTATTTTCCAAGATGATAAAGTGAAAGTAGGTCTTAGGATACCTGCAGTAAGTTAAACATTCCATATCTTATAATTGATTAATGAGCTATATCTATAGTAGATCATAATTTCCCTATAGGAAGTAAGCAGAAATTAATTCCTTCAATGTATTTAATGATCAAATCAAATGAACTTAAAGATAAACTTTGAATAGAACAACTTGCAATTTTTGTACGTTTCCAATGGCCTATTGGTACCTTCTCACTTACATATACTGTCAAACCTTGATATAGCGAACCCTTGATATAGCGAATTTTTAAATCAAATATATTAAAATTATCTTACTATAGTGAACTAGCCAATTAAATTTTTTAAAAAATTCGTTATAAGCTTATAATGAAGTTGATATCCAGATCCTAGAATTCGTTATATCAAGATTCATTGTATTCAGGATCTGTAAAATCTTGCTTTAGATTCCCAATATGATGAAGCATTGAAAACTGATAGACAAATCTGTTCTATTTGGATATATTAATAGATGGTAGGCCAGATGAAAATTCAAGGCATTTGAAAAATATAAAAGGTCTACTATCAGCTTTTTAAAAAGTTTGACTTGGATTATCTAAGTGTATGAACACATGCTTCAGGATAATCCAAATATAATTCTGTTGAAAGGGGTATGGTAACATTATCTGGCAAACTTGCTGGAGTCACGTTGTCAGTTAACCACTTCAGTAAACATTTGGATTCGTAAGGTAAAGTCACAAATCCCGAATTAGCTGCTCAAAATTTTTAATATGCTGGAGAGAGACTTTGTAATATTTGGAGTTTTGATCTAATTTTTGGGAAACATATCAAAACTCAGTATATCAATATATTTACAAATCCATTCGAAAGTTTACAGTTTAAAGGTATAGAAAAAGAGAAAGCTGAGAAGTTAAAAAGATTAAAAAAACAAAAATAAAAACAAAAAAGTGCAAATAAAAAAGATGAAGAACTTGCCTCTCTTGAATGTTTTGTTCCATAGTCTTAGATTGAAAGACACTGCAATTTGTGTACATATTCTGTTGATATCAAAAAATGCAAAGATACATAATGTTACAGACTACCTAGAGTTAAAGAAGTAGTAGAATTTCAAAGAAGCTATAATGGTTTCTTGCCACCTGTTACAAAAGCTAAGTATAGACACTTCATGAATCCCATTCATTTACTCCAATATTATGATTATATAAAAATCTCAGGATATGATACTTATTATTCATCTCTTGAAAAAATTCAGCTTCTTGTTTTTATTATCCAACCTGTCAGAAATTCTTTTCTACTCTTACTTTTTTAAAGAACCACAAGAAAACAGCACATCCTATTACTTGAGAATGACCTAAAACATAATTTAAAAACCTGGCACTTGATAATTTTTCTCTTTTAGCTTCACAATGATCAGACACCATTCTGTTTGAATTAAGAGAATATGCATTAGATGGAGAATAAACATGTATTGTATAGTTTTGTATAAATTTTAAATAAAATAAAATGATTGAATGTAAATCTGATTCATATTAATCATGTGATATTATCTATTAAGTGTAATATAAGACATATATAAGAAACCCCTGCAATCCCCCTACCCTTAAATATTACGTAATAAATGTCAGTATCATAATGGTAAACTTAATAAATTAACGGAATTTGTAATAGCAAGTTTCAAATCCCATTATAATAGTAAAGATGTTTCTAGCATTAAGAAGCTAGATCATTTAACAAAAGATATCTTAATACCATCAAGAAGTAGAAAAAATATTGCAAATAATTTGAATGTACGCTATTTTTTATTTGATGCATATATCTCTTTTCAATAGATAAATTTTAACATGATTATATTTATTTTTAGTTATAAAGAATGTGTTTTATACACATTTTTTTTAATAGGAAAAAGGAGTCTTTTTTTTTAATAAATAATAATAGGAGGGAGTGGTCTTTTTTTTACACTAAAAAAAAGTTTTTTTTAGTTAATAATAATCGGGTTTTTTTACATTAAAGAAAGCTTTTTTTTAATTAGTAATTAATAATTGGTGTTTTTTAATTAATAATAATAGGAAGCATTAAATCTATAATAATTGGAAATTTTTATGTTAAAAAAAGTTTTTTTTAATTAGTAATAATAGGAGGATTTTTTACGTTAAAAAAAAGTTTTTTTAATCAGTAATAATAGGAATGTTTTTTTTACGTTAAAAAAAGTTTTTTTTAATTAGTAATAATTGGAGGGTTTTTTTTTACGTTAAAAAATTTTTTTTAATTAGTAATAATAGGAGTTTTTTTTACATTAAAAAGTTTGTAATTAATAATAACAGATATAATAAAAACTATCATAATAATAAATTTTCATATTATCACGTGTTTTTAATTTTATAATGATGATTATCCAATCAAAATTCAAATTTTTATTTATAAAAAAAAAGATAAATAAATTTATTTTGTGGAAGGGAATGGCATCCCTGGCTCAGTGGTTAAACTGCGAGTCTCCTATTAAGTTAAAGTTTCATTACACAGCAATACGCCATCAGTTTAGGTATCGGTCGATACATAAAACTAGATGATTTTCTATAAGGAATTTCATATGTACTGAATACGATGGGCGTATGTACTAACATGCGTACAAATCTGGTTGATTGATCTGTCGATCAACGTTGATCATGCCTAAATACTGCACAATGTTAGAACAAGTAGATGCAAATGAAGCCAGGGATCGACAG